GACAAGATGCAGGGGATGGGAGCAGCCACCACGTCCCTCCGAAAAGGGGCCATCTGAAGGAATCGCGACTTGGGGACTCCCCTGACAGACGAGAAAGAGGACTAGGCAGGGACCAGAGAACAGAGAACATTGTCCCTCCCACCTGGAAAGGGCGTCCCCTCCTTCGACTGAAATCCAGACCCCCTTCGGAGCTCAGCTTAGCTGCACTGACCCTCCGCCAGCTCCCCCCTCCGGCTTCAGCCTCACCTCTACCACACTCTGCCCCCTTTACTATACTTCCTGCACCTTTGTCTCACTGGTGAGCTCATGGGGGGCTGGTATTTGGGTCAGGCGACTCAGTACCTGACTCATTTATAGGGGGGGGTGCTTTGTGCATAGTGGACATGTGATTTACACATCTACATCAACCAGCCTCCGGCTGAACTCCACGAGGGGCACGAACAGAGAAAGAGAAATCCCGGAGAAGCCGATGCCGTGAAAATCGGGCTTCAAGCTTGGTCTTTAAGTGGAATTTAGAACTGAGTTGCTCTGCGCTTGGCCACCAGAGGGCGCGTCGCGCCCCCCCCCCCCGCCCCGATAAAGATCGAGAGGGAGGTGCCTGACCGCCTAGGCGCCCCGCCTCCTCCGTACCGTCCCCGGGGGCCGGGTTACCCACTTCCGATGGTGGCTGCGCGGGTCCCCGGATCTGGGCGTCTGCAGCAGGTCAGCCCTTCTCCCGGGGGAACAGAGGCCCGGAAACCACCAACACTCTGCCTGGGGTTAGCGGGATGAAGAGGAAGAAGCAAAAACGCTGTTGGGACGAACAGGGCGGCCCATTCCAGCCGCGACGTGGCTAGCGCCCGGAGCAGCGTGCCAGGGCTCTTCTCGCTGTGTTTTCTTAGATTCCGTATTGGCCCGTTTGGCCTCCAGTCATGACAGTGCTGAAGCCATGGCCGAAGCTAGTTACACCTCCCCTGCGTTCCAGCTTTGGAAGGCACGCGAAAATCACACGGCAGACTCTCCAACCAACCTGGAGCTCATTCCCCTAAACGCCTCCTTTCTGTAACTCACACCGCAGACCACTGTGTCCCCTGCCCCAGATCACCTGGGGCCAGGGACCAGACCACTAGGGACGGCCCCCTGCCCAAAGCCTGTCGCAATTATTCACTGAAGCCCACCCTCAGGAGTTTCCCCTGCCCGGCAGTGCTTTTCCCACGCGGACCCCAATAAAAGCTTGACCTCTCTGTTTTCTCCTCTGCCGGGAGTGGTGGCCCACCGCCCCTTCTCTTGGGAAGTGTCAGTAGTCAGACTAGCACTTACCTCTCTCTGTCAACGCAGTCCCCTACATAAACTAAAACCCCACAGGTACATTTTCACACAGGGGTCAGGGACCTGCCCTGTATCTGCTCTGGTCCTGACTGGCTGTGGGGTCTTGACACAATCACTCCACCTTCCTGGGCCTGTTTCTCCCTAAAATGATGAAATCGGACCCTTCTCTAATGGGCTTGAGGATGTGCCCAGTCAAGAGAATGAGGGCTTATAGTCTGCTGCTTTTCTGCTCCCACATTGCCCGTAGGGGATCAGAGTCTGAGAAAACCTGCAGTTTCCTCCTCACTGAACTGGCATTTTATTGATTTGTAAAACCTACCTATTAATCAAGACTAATTACTTGTCTCTCATATATGTTAACAAATATGTTCCCCTAGTTTACTAGGTTTTAGCCCTTGCCCATCCCTCCACCTTTAGATTGAAATGTTTACTAGTTCTATAATAAAATTTTTTGATCGTTAAAAAAAGGGGGGGCATGCTCAGTGCATATATGCCCATGTGCATAGCAGCACTGTCCTCCATAACCAAGAGATGGAAGCAGCCCAAATGTCCATCAGGGGATGCGTGGATACACAGCGGCGTGTACATACAATGGAATATTATTCAGCCACAGACAGGAGTGAGCACTGATAGGTGTTACAGGGGGATGAACTTTGAACACATGCCGAGAGAAGCCACACACAGAAGGTCACATACTGCATGAGTCCATTCATATGAAATGCCCAGAACAGGCAAGTGCCCAGAGACAGACTGCAGATGGGTGTTGCCGGGCGCAGGGGGGATGGGGGAGAAAGCCCAGATGTTGGACAGGTACAGGGCTGCCTTTGGGGGTGATGGAAACGTTTGGAACTAGACAGAGGTGATAATTGCACAACATTGCGGATGCACTGTCGTTCCCATTAAAATGGTTCATTTTATGTTATGTCAATTTGACTTCAGAAAAGGGGGCAAGCTTCACATAAGCCCTTTTCTGCAGAGAAACACTACAGACGCAGCATGGGTGTGCTGGGCATCACCTTCAGGAGAGAGAAGCCCTCTGGGGAGCGCAGAGAAGAGAAGGAATGGGGCCACACAGCTGTAACACTTCAGGTGTTGAAGACTAGAGCTGATCGGAATGCAAAACAACGAATCCAGCTGTGTTACAGTACATCTCCCTCTATTTGAAAACTGGCCAAACGTACAAGACAAAATGTTTAAGGGATGGTCAACGAAGAGAGAAGGGAGAAAGGGAGGGAGGGACTTAGCGCCTCGGAGCCCCGCTGAGCCTAACGCAGCTTCCGGGTTGTTGCCGGGCTTCCTCACAGGTGTAGCCGCGGGCGGCGTGGCCGGTGATCGGCGCGCACCTGCCCCGCCCGGAAGCGAGGCCGCCAAGGGCTGCTTGCAGCCTCGCGTCCCTAGCCCGCTGTCCAGCCGGGGGAGTGAGAGCCGCGCTGTCCCCACCGCGCGCGCCCCGGGTCCCCGCCAGGTCTGTCACTGTGACGGGACAGCCGCGGAAGCAAGGACAGACTGAGGGAACCGAGAGGGTAACACAAGCACAAACCAATAACTTTTCAAGACCACAGAAATCTTCATTGCAGTTACTCACGGAGAGCGCCACCTTGTTTCAGAGGTAAGGGAACCTGAGCATTAACAGCGCCTCCTGGAGATCGCGCCGCCCGCCGCTGGCACAGGTCCAGGGACCGCAGCTAAGAAAACGCTTATTTTTTTTAAAAAGAGATTTTATTTATTTGTTTGATTATTTATTTATTTAGAGCGCACGAGCACAAGCGGGGGGAGGGGCAGAGGGAGAGAGAGAATCTAGCGGACTCCCTGCTGAGCGCGGAGCCGGACCCGGGGCTCGGTCCCACGACCCCGAGATCATGACCTGAGCCGCAATCAAGTGTCCGACGCTCCACTGACTGAGCCACCCAGGCACCCCGGAAAACAGTTATTTTTAGAATTGAACGTTCTGTGCCACTTTTGCCTTCAACGTAGAGACCCACTCTTGCTTGCTTTCTGGAAACTTCCTGGAATTGTCTCTTTCCATGATGATTCTGAGATACTGTGTTTCTTTTACCTTCTGTGATTAATTGTTGTCTCGCTGCTCCTTTTTCTCTCTTCATGTCCATCTCATTTTGGTTCGTTTTCTTATTCCTGTCCTCGCTGCCCCTGTTTTTAGCACTCTCTGTTCTTCCTAGTGCTCTCTCCCTCACGGCCACTTCCCCTCTGGGGTTTTATGTTTCTTCGCGTCTAGCCTCAGCTCTGCCATATGGGGTCTCTGCCACAGGAATCCCTCCCTCTGTATGCCTTAGGAATCATGCCCTTGAGCTCTTGTGTCTGCGCTCTACTTCAACCATGTGTGATCCACAGCAAGTTCTTTTGGCCACAGATAATATCCATCTGCTTTGTTATTGTTAGGATTAGCGTCGGTTCCACTTTTACAATTTTGAATGGAATTTTAACTTGTGCCAACTATTTCCTAGAGGTTCGTGTCAGAGAGGTGCAGGACTGTGTTCTGGGCTAGCAGGCATTTTCCTTAACACGCAGGGTTTTATGTGTGGGTTTTCCTAGTTTTTTCTGTTTGGGGGTTTTTTTTGAGAGAGGTGGGGGTGAGGGGCCTAGGGAGAGAGAGAATCTCAAGCAGATTCCACGCTCAGCACAGAGCCTGACGTGGGGCTCGATCTCTGAGATCATGACCTGAGCCGAAACCAAGTGGGTCACCTAACCGACTGAGTCACCCAGGCACCCCTTCCTAGTTTTTTTTTTTTTTTAATGAAATTTCTTATAAATACAAAAGTAGATAATGTATACGTAAGGTATACAAACCGGTAATAAACACCTGTATAGCCAGCAGCCACCTTAATAAACAGAACCTTCCGCTTAGAAGCCCCATTTCCTCTCCTTATAGAATGTCATCTCCCCATCAACCTCCAGAGACAATTGTTTCTGCATTTTATCATTCTTCTTGATTTCCTTTAGTTTGTCACGTGTGTGTGTGCATACATAGTATATATAATATATATCCCTCCCGCTGATGCATCCTGTGTTTCCAAACCTTGCGCTCTCTGGGAAGGCTAACATACCGCGTACACACGCTCCTGAAATTCGCTCTGGTGGCTGTCCGTGGGAGGCCCCCCACACCGATGGGCACAGCCACGGCGCACCATTTTCCACCATGTGACGTTACAACTCGTTCATCCATCCTCTTGTTAAAGGCCATTTGGACTATTTCCAGGTTCTTGCTGTTACAAATACCATTTTTTAGCTTGTCTCCTGGTGCATGTGGAAAAGAACTTCTCTAGGGCAGTGATTCTCAATCCTGGATGCATTTTTTTTTTTTTTAAAGATTTACTTATTTGACAGAGAGACAGCGAGAGAGGGAACACAAGCAGGGGGAGTGGGAGAGGGAGAAGCAGGCTTCCTGCCGAGCAGGGAGCCCGACGTGGGGCTTCATCCCAGGACCCTGGGACCATGATCTGAGCCGAAGGCAGATGCTTAACAATAGCCACCCGGGCGCCCCTTTTTAAAGTAATCTCTATGCCTAACATTGCACTCACGCTCAGGACCCCAAGATCAAGAGTTGCATGTTCTTGTGACTGAGCCGGCCAGGTACCCACCCAAATCCTGGTCTCTTAAATCCATACGATCTCTCCGACTATTTGGCAAGATCAATTCCAGTCTGTGTGAGTGAGTAACAAAGAGAATGAGAGGTCTCCTGGTCAGAGAGATTTATTGTTGTTTGATTTCTGTCCTGCTTCCCTTAAATCCTTATCAACCCGGTCTCTTCTCAAGTAGATGAGGAGAGGCGCTGATCCTTAAGTGTAGGACTGGCCCCACTGGTGTGACACTGTCTCTTCAACAAAGAAAGTTCCGTGGTCCAAGCTGCGCTCAGATGGCCGTGTCAGACATCCCCCCCCCCCACGCCGCTCTCCACAGCGGAGGTGCTGAAGTACACAACTTTAATAACGGTAGATGAACAGAAAGCACAAGACAGATATAATACAGTAAAACAGGGGTGAGGTGGGGATGGAAGGGACAGAGGGACATGGAGTATGATCACAGCAACCAGTGGGTGAGTCCTTCGGTGCCCCGAGGAGGCCATGAGACACGTGACTCCTGTCACCAACAACGGCGTGTTGAGGGGACCGCCCCCTCTGGAAGACCGCTAGTGGTACTGCTGAGCCCGGAAGTGGGGCGGGGGCCCTCTTTGTCACAGAGCGTTAATACTCCAGGGGGTCTGGGCTCCGAGTGACAGGGCAGCGTCGACGTCGGGAGAGCGGCCTCTTCAGGACGCGCGCCCTAACATGAGGTGGAGAAACAGGTCCCCCCACTCGGAGTAAGCAGGCCCCGTGACACTCAGGTCTTTTGATACGGAGCTGCACCACCCACCACTGCACCCCAGGGCCCGCTCCACTCTGTTTACCAAGCACGCTCCCTGCAAATGGAGTTCAGGCAGAGAGCGAGCAAATGCAGAGGAGCCGGGAGGAACCACAGCGGTGGGACTGGAGGGACGGGGGTCGACCGGAGGAGCGGACGTGCACCGTGTGGGCCCCTCCTAGGCGTCACTGAGGTTGGCGCCGCTCAGGAGCACCTGCTCCCCGGGTCTGAAGGCCGGCATCCCGAGGTAGGGGCAGCTGGTACAGCGGAAAGCGTCGCCCAGGTAGCACTGTTGAGAGAAGAGACGATCACACAGGGAAGCTGAGTGTCCGCGCGTCCCAGATACACGGGCAAGAAAGGGACCCCTAAGTTCATAACATGGCCACAGTGGCCTGATGGAAATGGCTGGCTGCATTTGTGGGTCCAACTGAAACCCAAATACTAAGAGTTTTTGAGAGCTTTGGTTTTATGAAAAGCAGTGGTCTAGAGAAGTTCCTTAAGGAGACTGTGCTTCTGTATTCTGAGCAGTTCAAATCATAGCCGAGCTCAGCCAACTGGCTGAACGGCATCAGGCCACTGTAAGGTCGGAAGAATGGGGCCAAAAATAAATGACAGGAGCCTCCCCTACGGGCATGAGCACGCTAACCCCCTCCCAGGAGATGACCTCTCTCCTATATACACGTTCTCACATATTTACCCATTATTAAAATATTTGGGCAGTAACTGAGAGCTGGAGCTAGTCTGTGTTGGGCTTAGGATGAGGCCCAATACCACCGGGGGATTTTGTGAATACTGAGTAACGATCCAGATATTTACATTTCCACAAGCCGACTTGGGCTGGGAGCTCGCCTGTTCCCTTGACGTCTCTTTTTCCAGTTCTTCCGCGAGGCCACAGGTGCTGGGGGAAAATCAGGCGCTTGTGAGTGAGACTTGCCACCATCCAGGGGCTCCAAGTCCATGACAGAGCCCAAATTCGCTCTAAAACGTCTCTCTTTACACCGGGACGTCTTAACTCACAAACACCCACAGGGCCAGGCTGACAAGGTAAGCGCGTGAGGCTGTTTAGGGAGACAGAGTGGTGGGCAACAGGAGACCCAGAGGGGAGATGCCCTGTCTACACAGGCTGGCCACTACTCAGCTTCAGCTGATTAATGCTGTGGGGAGAAGCAGACCCCGTGTTTCCATTTTCCAAAGCTAAGGACAGAAAAAATTTGGATTTTTACTTGAAATCTCCTGATTTGTGAATGCTGGCAACTTTCACACTTGAAAAAACACTGATGATTCAGCAAGCCCACACACCACCAGTTAACTTTTTACCACCTTTTTGGTCCATAAAATGAATGCAAAAATACCAACACTGAGGTTTTCAGGTTAAGAGGACAGACTGCAGGCGTCTACTTTACTTTCTCTCGAGGTCTCACCGAAACTTCAGTAAAGACCTAACCTGCAAAGAAAGGGACTACGGGGAAGGAGACAGCAGTCAACACAGCGCTGGGAACCGTAGTGGGAGGGGGGGAGCGGTGACTCCAACTGAGGAGAGCCCAACTCTGAGCAGGCGGGGAGGTAGCCACCACCCAGCAGGTGGCTGACTCTCAACCTGCATCACACCCCAAAACCGCCAAAGGAACAGGTAGCACCCGACAGACCCTTCTCTGAGAAATCTAACCACCCCAAAGGGAAAGACCCAAAGGTGCTGACTTTGCGGTGTCCCCCACAAGCCCATTCAGGCTCCCTCACTAAAGCACAGTCAATAAATTCCAGCTCAGGGCTCCCAGCTTTCTGTCCTCCCCTCTTAATCATGGAGACAACGGAGCTTCCCGGGAGGTAGAAAGCCTCCTAAAAGAAAAAAGCAAGTTAGGGGTGCCTGGGTGGCTCAGTCGGTTAAGTGTCTGCCTTCAGCTCAGGTCAAGATCCTGGGGTCCTGGGATCAAGCCCCACATCGGGTTCCCTGCTCAGAGGGGAGTCTGCTTCTCCCTCTCCCTCGGCCCCTCCCCCCCTTCATGCTCTTGTGCTCTCTCGCTTGCTCGCTCTCCCTCTCAAATAAATAAATAAAATCTTTAAAAAAAGAAAAAAGCAAGTTGGAAGAAATAGAGACTATCCAGGGAGGAAAAAAACCTCCAAAGAACTATCACGAACCTCAAAGGAAAAGAGAAGAGATCACACCCGCAAAATAAAAATAGGATGCTATACTAAAAAAAAAAAAAAAAAAGTCAAAACAATAAAAAGGAATCACGGAAATTAAAAACATGATAGTAGAAATAAAGTAACTCAACAGAAATTTTGGAGGATAAACCTGTAGAAACTTCCCAGAAAGTAGAGCATAAAGAAGAGAGCTGGAGCTAGTCTGTGTTGGGCTTAGGATGAGGCCCAATACCACCGGGGGGTTTGGGGCATAAAGAGCATAAAGAAAATGTAGAAGCAAAGAAAATGACAGGACCAATTAAAGAGGCCCAACGTCTGAGGAACAGGCCACAGAGAAAGCAAAGAGAGAAGACAAAACTCACATACAAAATTAAAGAATATTTCTCAGGACTATGGGCATGACTTCTAGACCGAAAAGCTGCATTGAATGGCTAGTGCAAAAGATGCGAACAGACCCTTATTCAAGATACATTACAAAATGATACCAGGGATAAAGAAAATTCTACAAACTTCCATTAAGATTCTACAAACTTCCGGAATGGAACAAGAGGTCTTACAGAAAGGATCAAGAAACAGAATGGCCTCAGATACCTTTGTATCTGGAAAAAAGACAGAAATGTCTTCGAAATCATGTAAGAAAATTATTTCCAGCCTCTAGATTTCTATACCCAAATGACCAATCGTTTATGAGAATAGAAAAAAGACATGTTTAGCCACATAAAGTCTGAAAACAAATCTAAAAAAACCAAACTTGCCTCTTAAGTAGCCTTTCTAAAGCAGCTACTGGAGAATGGGCTCCACCAAAGTGAGAGAGAAAACCAAGAAAGCAGCAGTGGCTACAAAAGCCAGAAAAGCTAACATAGGTCAGAAAGAGGGGAGCCCCGAGGGGAACAGTGCGGGGGACCCCCAGACGTCAGCTCTGCCGTGGACAGAGTCGCACGTGCGCACTGGCGTGGGGGCCCAGGAGACGGACGGGCTGACGGCGGCCACTGTCACAAACCAAGCCACCGTCCACCGGTTCTTTGTCCCTGAGCGCAGGCAAGCCAGCCCAGGCCCTGTCCCGTGCTTATCTCGACCAGGCGCTGCTAACACGTGGCTTTCCCGTCCCTCCCTGCGCTGCTGATCTGAGGACACGGGTGCTGTGCTCGGCTCCGAGGAGGAGAGCTCCAGCCCCAGCGGGCCTAGAGCAGAACAGCCCGGGCAGCCCACGCCCTCTGGCCACACTCGGGCTGGCTGCCCAGTCACCGCGGCACGCCACAGCCACAGCCCTGCTCGGTATTCCCTCTGCACATGCCCTCCGGGTCCCAGAGCTCTCCCACGACTCTCCCTACTGACAGCCCTGGGAGGGACTCCAGGAGATCCTCAAAGCGCCCAGCCCAGAAGATCACTGGGAGCCTTCATAGATGGAGGGGACTGACGTTTCCTTGTCTCGCCAGGGTTGGGCCTCCTACTCTGTCCTTCACAACTCAAGAATGTATCACTTGGAGCTTCACACTCGGTGGTAAACTATCAAATAAGCCAGGAATGATTAACACGAACTTGGGAGGATGGTAACCTTTGTGGGGAGAGGGAGCAAGATGCAGCTGAGGAAGCATGGAGAGGTGACTTCTAAGATACTAGTCATGTTTCTGATTCTTAACCTGGGTCATCAGTACACAGCTATTCATTTTTATTACTCTTTAAAATGTACCTGATTAATCTACTCCTCCGTATGTATGATATATTTCACAATAAAATAAATATTTCAACAATAGTCAAGTATTATGATTCCTTGAGACTCAGAAGCCACTAGAAGCTGCCCGGCAGACTCTGCTTATGCTAACACTTACCAATTCTTGCAGGCTTTCCTCTTTTTCCCTTCTCCACATGAAGGAGCCCGCAGGGAAGCTGGATCTGGCTTCTTAAAATCCTCTGGATCCAGCAGCTCGTCTGAGTCAATGAGATCCTAGAGAGCGTTCAAAGAAGTTAGTGACACAGTCAGGGTCTCTGCTGCTAGAAGACTGAATAAAGGGCTGTGGTAGCGGGTTTCTACGGCCTGTGTGAAGAGGGCATCCACAGACCTACTTCGGGCTGATCACCACGTTCAAGCTGACCACCACAGTGAACTCAACTACGTCCACAGAAGATGCATGAAATTTGAGGGGGCTGGGAAGTAATTTATAGTGCGTAGACAATTCGAGAGTGTGTGGGGGGGGAGGGAGCAGGAAGAACAAAAAGAGAGATGCTGTATTTATTTCTTTGCATATACAAAGGGCTGTCATGTGAGAAAGGGAATAAAATATTTTCATATAGTTCCAGAGAAGAAGGCAAATAATGGTATATACATTTGTGTAATTCTTCGATAGACGTGTGGACAATTCATCCGTAAATTCTACGGGGACATGAATCATGACCTGTTTTGCTATGACTATAACGTCAGCAGTTGCAGAAATGAAGAACTTTTTAACAGACGGTATTGATCAAAGACGGACAAGTACTGCTTTTAAGACAGTGAGTGTGCAGGGACTTGCCCGGACCAAAAAGCCAATAACATATTTCAGCTGACAAACTCTTCTCAGGTTCACACATGCCCACCAGAATCTTTAACATATCACATGAAGTGAGAACAAGAAAATCTGTGGGGAAAAGAGATGCCAGAAAAGGATTTTAAAATGCCACCAATGTGGAGTTTCCTTCTCAATCAAAACTGCCAGCCACGGGCAGAGCGCAACACTGGGCTTTACACCTCCGCGTGCCCAGAGGCCACGCTGACGCAGGCCACGGACCGCAGGCCGACTCACCACGCTCTCATCCTCCATGTCGTTGGCGGACAGGGTCCAGAGCTTGGCCGCGGCAGGGTCCACGGCGGGCTTCACTGAGTCCAACCGATAAAAGAAAAAGAGCTCCGTCAAAGCAGCAGAAACCACCACAGGCCTACTACGTGCGTGCTTTCTCCTGAGACTGCAGAGCACACGGGACTGGGAGCCCGAGGCCCAGCTCCCCCACTTGGAGCAGGCGTGGTCCGGGCCCAGTCGCCTCGCAGAGACGGACACCAGTATCTGCTAAGCACCTGCTCTGCGCGCCGTGTGGAGTAACTCCCGCTACGACTCTTTTAAGGTGAGTACGTGCTCTCCTAATTCTGCAAGTGAGGGAACTGGCTCTGACGTTTGGGCCACATCTACAGAGCCACGCAGAGGAGTCTGTCCGACGTGCCTGACTTCACTCCACATCGCTCTGTCCTCATCTTAGTTTCCGTCCCCAGAACCTGGGGCTGGTCGTCCTCCCTAGACCTACTGCAGGAGACCGGAAGATCAAGGGGGAAAGTGTGCCAAAGCTTCTGCCTCATGGGAACCCGTCACGTACGAGGAAGCCAGCTCCAGAGCCGGGGGCGGCGGACGCCCACGCTCGCCCCTGCCGACCCCGTCTGTGTAGGAAGGGCCCTGCGAGCGGAGCCCAGAGTCAGTGTGGGCGGGCCCTCAGATGGGCCTGGGGGCGCGGGTGAGCGCAGCCCTGAAGAGCGCTGCTGCAGGGGGAGGCTCAGACGGTCCCCGGGCCAACTGCTCCTCTGAGCCCTTCCTGCCCATTCCAGAACCATGAATCCAAAGGCTGCGATTCCAGCAGATTCTTAAAGATTGTGGCTGGCCAGGCAAGGCAGAGCAGTGTGAATGTACCTGCAAATTTTCACACACCTCAGAGCTGGGACAGTTTCTCTCAATTCGGGAATCATGAAATAGTGATGAGGTGAGGGGGTGAGGGGGCGGCACAGGGCAGGTGCAACTTTCTGAGAAGAAATATTTTTACAAGTGGCTTATACTCCTCAAAGTAAGAAAGGCTGACTTTACTAGCACAGAAAGGACACGTGGGAAGAGGAGCAGGGCACTCTTATCAACCACGGCCACCACTGTGAGATCTCCTGAGACAATTGTTGTAATTCTGGGGCGTGGAAAGACATTGTTAGCTAAACCCTGTGGCTCAGGCCTCTAGAATCTGGGGGCCTCAGTGTCTTCTGGTGCAGGAGGGGCTGAGCGAGATAACAGCTATACGCTGTGAAATACACGTTATTTCACATCTGGATCTGAATATGCCCGGGACAAGAGAACATTAAACATTCTTCCATTTGGAAATGACAGAAATGAAGGAAGGACTACCTCTGGAGACATCACTGCCTCCATCTATTTCTCTGGTTCAACGTCGAAGATGTCCCTCTAGGCCCACCCGGACAGAACAATGTCCCCGGGCCAGTCCTACCTGGAGGAGAAGTCCTCTTGGCAAGAGAAAGCTTCAGTTGACTAGAAGAACCCACTTCAAAGTTGGGTTTTTTGCCTGTGATGCTCACAGTGAGCAAGCTGTCGCTTTGGTAATCCAGGTGTTCTTGGACAGACTGTATCTCTTCAGGGCTCAAGGACTCCCGCTGCAGCTGGAATTCAAGACATCAAAAGGATGAGGCCACGCTCTTTCCACAAAATAATGCGGTACTATGCCCACCCGTACTGGCGTCAAATACTCATTTCTGTGTTATTAAGCATATGATAGCGGGAGATGACAGATGTCACCTCATGCCTCACATTCAGTTTCTCAGTGATCTGTACCCTAGAGAGTGTCATTTTGTTTATGTGCTTACCTTGAGCCAACCCTCTGGGAAGTTTTAAAGTGTTTACCAAATCGCTGTCTATTAGGTACAAGGCACTGTGCCAGTCATTCCACGGGTTGTAATGATTATGAATATAAAGAGGAGTCAGACATGCTGAATAGGATCACAATCTACAGCAGGGAAGCATGCCCACAATAAACCTAGCAGAAATGAAAGAAAAAAAACCCACAGAGGGAGGGAAATGTTTTCTTGGGAACAGGTAGCAGATGCCAAGATAGAAAAAAACGGTGGAGTGCCACCTGTGTGTCCAACAACTACGGAATGGTTAAATCAATCATAGCCCCTCCACAGCTCTCAATATTGTTACATCATTAAGAAGACTGAGGGGCGGGGCGTCTGCCTTCGGCTCAGGTCATGATCTCCAGGTCCTGGGATCAAGCCCCGTATCGGGCTCCCGGCTCAGTGGGGGAGCCTGTTTCTCCCTCTCCCTCTGCCTGCAGCTCCCCCTGCTTGTGCTCTGTCTCTCTCTCAAATGAATAAATAAAATCAACTTAAAAAAAAAAAAAAAAAAAAAAGGGTGAGGGGCAATGAGCTGAGGTGGATAAATGTGGAAGATGTTTAAAGGTGGGAGAAAAAACTAGTGGTTGAATAATGTAGGCATATGCCCTGATTTACATTAAAAAAGTATCTCTCTCTTCCTCTCTCTCTCTCTCACACACACACGCATAAATACATAAAAAGGTCTGAGCAGCCACACACAAAAAATGTGTTGGTGACTTCCTCTGAGGGAGGGAAGCGTGAGAAAGGCCTGGAATGTCACTTTCTATTTCTATACTGTTCAGTATTAATTGAATTTATATGAGCATCTCTTAATTGAGATTTAAAAAAACAGAAAACCCTAAACGAAAAAGAAAAACAAGAAAGAGTCGGCATAAAGAAACTAAGGCCCTAGGTCATGTTGCAAATCGGTGGTATAACAATTTTAAAGGTGTCGCACTTACCTCTCACACAAGAAAATTTCAACATCAAAGAAGGATATAGAAATAGAATCACCTCTATTTAATCTAAATATTTTTACTGAATTGTCAGAAATGGGATAGTCTCTCCCAACACACTCCAGCATCCACCAAGTATCTCAGGACGATTCAGGTGCCCGCATTTCACTTGAACCTAGGATTTGTGTCATGAGGGGACCTGTGTGGCCCTCTCCCGGCTACCGTGGGTGGCAACACTACACAGTACGGAGACCAGAATGTGCCCCCAGCCCCGTGGGCCCGTGAGGAGCCTCTTCCAAGGAGAGTTGTTCCAGAGGTTCTGTCCTTTGAGGCATCGCGTATCCTCCACACAAAGCTCTTCCCAGCTTGCTTCCCAGCCCACGAAACATAGCACACCTCACCTTCAGGGCGCTACTCCCCTCTGATTCTCTCCAGATCGACTGACAGAGATCCTGGGTGGGGTCACCCAGGCTTTCAAATCCCAGCAAAGAAGGTGGTCGACCGACATACCTCTTTCACTTCCACGAGGCCGGAAAGAGTCAGGGCCGAACACAGCTTAGAGGTCGTCCTCACTTTGCTATTGTTAACTGCCAAGAGGAAAACCCCAATTAGTGGCTTTATGGGTCAAACCAGGAAATAGCATAACGGCTCCATCCTATTTGGGGCAGGCAGCCATAAGACAGCAACGGCGATGGTATTTTAATTTGACAAATCCCTTTGGTTGTTCAAAGTGCTCTTACCCAAGCCCTTAAGGATCATATAACAATTCCATTGTTATTGTTCCGTATCACCCTTGGCTTCTTGGAAGGACCTTCCCAGGGCTGCTGAACACTGAGTGAGAAGGAGGCTGAGGAACTAACTGTAAAGCACATGGGTGTTCTCTCTGCGGGGTTCTGACAAAGAGGGGGGGTGTGCAGCCGCCCACGGCCTACGCGCCCAACACAGAACGCTGGTGTCCACTGTCAATGTCACAAGCTTGTATCTCCACACATCCACCTTTACGCATTCCAAAATACTTTCATTCTCTGACTGTATTTACAAATCAATCCTCACATACGGATGGGAAAGGTTACAAGTTCAGAATTGCACGGCTCTTTGGCAGCTTCACCCACCACCGAGCCAAAAAGAGAGGTTTTCGTTTCCTGGATCCCACCCTTAGCTTCACATGAGTCGATAATTACAATTCATCACTCCCAGACTTCCAGTCGTTATTTTCTAACTTTTTATTTTGAAATCACTATAGATACGTAGGGAGTTAAAAAAAAAAAAAAAAGAAAAGAAAAAAAGGATGCTTCGCCTCCTTCCCCCCAGGGAATGGTCACCAAGGGTCCGCAGAGCTACCCAGGTCTCACCGGTTTCACGGGCACTTGTGTGTGTGCGCACACGCGCGGGGGCCTGTGAGCACGCCCACAGTCACAAGGAACCCTCCTGCCACCCCTTTCCAGCCTCACACATCCCCTGCCTCCTATACCGAACGCCTGGCAATCATCAGTCTGGCCCCCATCCCTAGAACTTTGTTATTCCAAGAATGTTATATGAACAGTATCATGTAGCATGCATCCTTTTGGGACTGGCTGTTTTCTGCTCGGCATGATCCAAGTTATTGCACCAGTGAGTGGCTTATTCCTTTTTATCGTTACGAAGTTTTCCATGGTACAGATGTACAACAGTTTAACCATTCAACCGGTTAAAGGACCCAGCCATTTTCCACTAGGCAGTCTCCTTCTATTTTACTACCTACTGGGTCGGTCAAAGATCACAGTTCCCTCACATGCATTGCTTCAGATTTTTACACCAAGGAGAAGGACCTCCGAATGACAGCCCCTGCATACCTAAAGATTCAAGGCTGTTAAATTCTGGTCTTCCAGATGAGGATTTCCTTACCTACAGCGGTCTCTACTGGCTCTCTCAGAAAAAGACTTCCACCAGGCCGCAGGATCCGGGCCATCTCAGCCAAAATCTCAGCGCTGTGCAGAGCAGTACTTCCAGGAATTACACCCGACAAAATAATGTCAAAGCTAGATTCTTTGTGGGCAGCTGAAAAGAAGGAAGATTCTTTTTTTTTTTAAAGATTTTATTTATTTTTATTTGAGACAGAGAGAATGAGAGAGAGAGAGCACATGAGAGGGAGGAGGGTCAGAGGGAGAAGCAGACCCCCCGCCGAGCAGGGAGCCCGATGCGGGACTCCAGGATCATGACCTGAGCCGAAGGCAGTCGCCCAACCGACTGAGCCACCCAGGCGCCCAAGAAGGAAGATTCTAATCGGCAATCTGCCCAGCCCCCCAAGACCCCTGATGAACAGCTACCTGTCCAGCAAATGCTGTTACGGCACCATTAGTAGCAGGAGCGCAGTGAAGCTGCTGTTCTCCCTTGGCCTTGTTAACTTAATATCCTTTTACATGTTCAGAAAAAGAAGCAAAAAAGGAAGCTGAAGAGTAAGCTTTTTAAAAAAATGTAGAATATCTGGGCGCCTGGGTGGCTCAGTTGGTTAAGCGTCTGCCTTCCGCTCAGGTCATGATCCCGGGGTCCTGGGATCGAGCCCCGCATTGGGCTCCCTGCTCGGCGGGGAGTCTGCTTCTCCCTCTGCTCGCGCTCTGTCTTTTGCTCTTTCAAATAAATAAAGTCTTTAAAAAAACGTGGGATATCTAATAAGAAACAACGTACTTATATAAATCAACTACACTCTTAAGTGTACCGTATCTCAACTGAAAGACAACAGGGTGACCGCCCACTGCCATCGTGTGCCACCCGGAACAAAAATTCAGATATCAAGGAACCACAGTCCTTGCACTCCCATCAAGCCCCGCAGCCGTATAAAGACAACGTGGGTAGGTACTTACATTGCAACAGCTGGTTGATGTTTTCCACAGACACTCGGCCCTCATTGCCGGTTAACGTTCGAAGCTTATCCACCAGATCTTTCAGAGCCTCCACGGGGGATGACTTATCCCAGACCACAGCCACAAACTGGCCAGCTGAGATCCCATAATCTGCCATTCCTGCCGTGCTGATGGACCTAAAACCTACAGGCCAGAGGAGAGTCAGGACTGAGCAGAGACAAAAGCACAATTCAATCCCTGAGGTACCAGCAAATTCGATTAGAATCACCACCTCATTCCCACCTCCTACCACGGCATGCTGACCACATAAGAACATCTTCCTGTAGACGCTAGAGAGACTGAAATATGAACCCATTATTATCTCAAGGATTCATAACCCCAACATTTCCAAATGAGGCAGGCTGCTTCCTTGATGAGAGTCTGGACTTGGCAGTCAAGTAAGGAGGTTGAAGGCACAAAGATTATTTCTGCTTTGATTTGGGACAACTCAGCTTGAGCACAATATAAAACATACAGGACATTAATTAGGCAAAAGTATGACTCAGCAAAGGCGGCAAATAAACTGGCAGACATAACGAGCTTAATGTTTTTTCAAAAAAGAGACAACATATTTAAATTTGGCCACTTGAATAATGATTATTTTCTCTTTCAGCAAAATACGAAAACTCAATCCCATTGAATCTGCAATGATCAATAGTCCTTACCATGACCTTCTGTCACATTTACTATTACCCAGGCTGTTCAAAGCACCTTGCATACATTATCCCAGCTGAACCTCGGCACAACCTTAAACTCGGTTATTATTCCCATTTTACAGACAGAAAACTGAAGCCATTGACTTTGCCAGGTCACACAACTAGTAAACGTGGGATAGAGCAAGACCTGGAATTTGAGTCCAAATCCATGGGGCTGTAAAGCCCATGCTTTTAACCTCTGGAGATCCCCCGCCCACCGCCAGCACCATGGGTCAACTTTCTCTTCCACTTGAGACAGGGAGGAGTATAGAATGTGCTCATGATGCAGTTAGGTCAGGCGATAGCATTCTACTTAGCTCTTACTTTCTTTCTTCAACATTAATGCCATCAAGTTCCCGACTTAAAACAGCTCTAATAAATGGCATAAAGGCAGAAGCCACGGTAGACGGGTCAAGCATGGCTCAGTCTCGTGCTGAACACTGCTTTCTTCTGCAGAAGTTGCTAACTCGGTCACAAGGATGCCACCACAGACACTCTGGGACTGAATTTAAGCCATGTCTGTTACCCCCTTCCTTCTTCAAAAATATTCACTTCAAATGACTGGCTCCTCTGCCTAAAAAACACAGCCAAGTTAGCCAGCCATCCTTAAATACCACAGTACTTTGATTCTGTCATCCAGTTCCTAAAGACGCTTCCTTTCTAGAGAGAAACCAAAGCTCATTCTTCTGGAATCAGGTCCTCCATGATCTGCTCCGTCTGTATCTCCCACCTCTCCAAAGTGAATCCCTCCTTGTTCTATGAAAAACCTCCGCATTTTTGCTTCAATCATGCCTTTGATCTATTTGCTTTTTTTTTTTTTTAAGATTTTATTTATTCATGAGAGACAGACAGAGAGAGGCAGAGGCAGAGGGAGAAGCGGGCTCCCAAGTAGGGAGCCCGACGTGGGACTCGATCCCAGGACCCTGGATCAGGACCTGAACTGAAGGCAGACGCTTAACCAGGCACCCTATCTATTTGCTTCCGCATGGAATGCCCACTCTTTATTATCCTGACCTGAATGCAAGCCCCAGGGAAAGGATACCAAGTGTTATCAGATAAGCAAGATTCCTTAGTCACTGCATTGTTTTTAAAGCCTTAAAAAGCACACAATCAAGAACTGAAACTTTTAAGCTTTTAACTCTCCTATGATGTTGAGGAAGAACTCCCGCCAATCTTTAAGGTAAGCAACTTGGGATCAATGTCCCATTTAAGAACCAGTCAGGGAAGACAGGAATATGGATTGCTGGGCATTAAGTTATAAGAAATAAAGGACCTGTTTCTAGAACGATACTGGCAGAGGTTCTCCCCTGGGACAATAGAAAGGGACAAGCTCCATGTCCACCACCACCAACTACAACCTTGCACTGTACTCACAGAAAAACCATCATGAAAGAAAGGAGGAGCAAAAGGTTACTTGTAGGCCACAGAAAAATAAAATGCCAGGTGTCTAGACCTTTCTGGCAACCTTAATGGAGGCAGTTTTAATGCACGCAGATGAACTGGGGTTCTGTCTACCACTGGATTGTCTACTTAGGAGCTCCATGACCACAGGTCAGTTATAAGCCTCTCGCTTCTCTTATCAATGAAGTAGGAATAATAATGTTTCGCCAGGCTGCTGTAAAAAGTAAATGAGGAGGGTGCCTGGGTGGCTCAGTTGGTTAAGCGACTGCCTTCGGCTCAGGTCATGATCCTGGAGTCCCGGGATCGAGTCCCACATCAGGCTCCCTGCTCAGCGGGGGGGTCTGCTTCTCCCT